GTAAAAGTCATGCCCATTCAGATTAGTTACTATTCTTTGTCCAATGCGAATAGGAAACACTTTTTCATTATCAGAAGCCACCAATAACGTGAAAATGGTCCATAATGTAATTCACTTATTAAAGCACCTTTATTTAAAAGAGTAACAGGAATAAAACGCGTTTTTGACATTAGGAAATGAATTTAATATTGGTTCTTTTGAGATTTTAAATTTATATTAAAACTTATATTTATCTTAACCCAAAATTTTTTATTAATTTTTGGAAATTTTCTGCCGATTATAAAAGGATCGGCAATTAATTTGTTAAACATATTATTTTATTATCATAACTCAATTCATATTATTAATCAAAATTCATTCATTATCACTATGAATGCCCATTTTTTCTGAAATCCAACTTTTTAAGCAAATAGTTGCTCAAGCAGTATCAGGCAGTAACTTATTTCGTAATTTACTAATAGTTAAACCTGCAATGGAAAAAGCTTCTTCTGCTGGAACACTAGTTGATTGTATTACCAAATAATCTCTTGCAATTTTTGATAATACTGGATACTCTGTTTCATGAGCTTGCCACCATTCTAATTATTGATATTAACATTTAACATAGTCAGTACTTGAATATAAAATAATTAACAAATGCTGATGTGTCAGTGCAAATACCTGAAGGTGAATATTCTCAATGTCTTTTTTCAAAATGTCTTCAATTTCTGAAAAAACTTCATATCCATATTCATTACAAATAGAACAAAGGCCTCCCATATTCTCTTTATATATATATCTACCCCCTTGAAGTCTGCTCATGAATGCAGTACGCTGCATTCCATTTGGATATTCTTCATGAAATTTCTCCCATAAAGAGCTCTTAGAATCCTGTAAGTATAACACAGGTAACCCTGTTTTGGTTTCTGTCTTATATGAACTCATATTAACATTTGCTTTGTCATTGAAAAACAATTCAAATTGCTTCAATTGCTCTTCATTTAATCTTGTTCTTGTGATAACTGGTTTAGATAAAGGTGGTGCACCAGGTCCATACATATCAGCATGTTTACATGCCTCTAAGATTGTATGTTCACCAACCTTGAGACAAGTCATTTAGTTAATTTCTAAGATATTTATTATTATACAAATGAAAATGTTATCTAATCATAATCTCTTACATTCAAATTTGTTTTTAATTCTTGGTAGGTGAAGTCATTTGCAATAATTGATAATGTACGCCGTTTTCCATCTTGATTTTTTTTGTTGCCTTTCAAAGCTTTCTTAAAACAGGGCCAGAAAGTGTTAGTATTGTTTGACATATGAATAGGCATACTTACCAAAAAACCCATTTTATAGAGAGAATGAATGGTGGATTTTTCTGTGATATGATCTGGAGATTTTGTCCATAATTGTAACTAATAAACTAATATTAGTCTTTTTGAATGATAAACAAATTAATAGATGTTTGATGTTACCTTTGATTCATCTTGGGTCCATGGTGTGATATTATGACAGCCTGATGCACGTAACATTGCCTGCCATGCATATAATTCTCGTTCTTTTATTGCATAATTTTTTTGGTAAATTATTTCAAGCTGAGAAAACAATTCAATCACTGTACTTTCCTTCTCCAACCAATTAGTAAAAAATTTATGCCATTCTATATTGGCAAAAGCCCTTCTCTTCAAATTGTAGTCATAAAGATTTTTCATAAGTGAAAAATTATCCCATTCATCTGGTGTACATTTTGGAACTTTATATTTTTTAATAAAATCTTGAACAATAATATTATCTAAACCAAAGAGTTGATAGCCATCATATTTTTGAATATAGTTAGTTTTTTTCCAAACTTCAATTGGTGATGTATCTTCGAATGAATCTATAATCTCATGTTCATGGTAAATTTTGATAATACAAACATCATCTTCTATTGTTGAAACAAATAATGATTGCTTTTGTTTGTATTTATAAATAAGTGATGATTGATAACCAGTCCCTCCATTTTTTAAATGTTGTTCCTCCGAACGTCCTATTGAGTGGATGAAAATTTTCAAATCACCTAAAAAAATATAAAAAGGACAAAAAGATTCAATAATCGAAAGCTTATTGACAATTTCTTCATCATTCCATCCCATAACTTGTGGACCAGAAAATTTAGTCGCCACATTATCAAACATTAGTTGATATATACTAGAAATTGCATTTGTGGGGCTTGTTTCTTTAGCACTACGAGCAGTCTTAGTTTCACAAATGTAACCTGGAAGATGACAGTTTTCTTTATTCCCGTGAACTATTTCAACGTAAAAGTCATGCCCATTCAGATTAGTTACTATTCTTTGTCCAATGCGAATAGGAAACACTTTTTCATTATCAGAAGACTGCCACCAATAACGTGAAAATGGTCCATAATGTAATTCACTTATTAAAGCACCTTTATTTAAAAGAGTAACAGGAATAAAACGCGTTTTTGACATTAGGAAATGAATTTAATATTGGTTCTTTTGAGATTTTAAATTTATATTAAAACTTATATTTATCTTAACCCAAAATTTTTTATTAATTTTTGGAAATTTTCTGCCGATTATAAAAGGATCGGCAATTAATTTGTTAAACATATTATTTTATTATCATAACTCAATTCATATTATTAATCAAAATTCATTCATTATCACTATGAATGCCCATTTTTTCTGAAATCCAACTTTTTAAGCAAATAGTTGCTCAAGCAGTATCAGGCAGTAACTTATTTCGTAATTTACTAATAGTTAAACCTGCAATGGAAAAAGCTTCTTCTGCTGGAACACTAGTTGATTGTATTACCAAATAATCTCTTGCAATTTTTGATAATACTGGATACTCTGTTTCATGAGCTTGCCACCATGCTAAAGGCTCTACATCTGGTTCAACAAGAGTTCTCAAGTATTTATCTAATTCTCCATCTTCAGATTGTGTAGTTGAAGTAGTTGTATTTCAATGTACAATATTGTAGAAATAATTACAAGCAGAATTTGATTTTCTTTGAATATTCGTGGTTACTATGTTTTCCTGATAAGAATAAATTGAAATTATATTTTGAAGTTCTTGAATTATTTCATCTCTAGTATGATTTGTTCCAAATCACCCAAAGGTAGTTAACTTTGTTCTAGGACCTAAAATGGCACTTAATGATGGTGATTGATCTAAAAATATTCTCCAATATTCATCAAGTTTTACTGAAATTGAGGATGCAATCATTGATTGTTGTAATTGTGCATCAAGATAATGGTCTAGTGTGGTGAACATACCAATAAAAGCTAATCTTACATCACCCATTGTTGGGTATGAAGATGATGATGATAATTTGGTTGCTTCATACATTGGTTCTAAGATATGGTATAATTCCTAAAACAAAATAAAAATGCATCTTTATAAATAAAAAAACTTGTGAAATACAAATAATGGAGAATAAAACTTACTCCAATATGCTTCCAATCTGATGTGGTTAAACATAAATCCTGCAATTCTTCATAATTATTATTAACTAAACACTCAATAATAGATCTTATTTCAATGAATCTTTCAATCATTAAATGAGTGGAGTTCCACCTTATATCAACATCTAAAATTGGCATCAAAAAAGATTTGTTTTTTATTTGAAAAGTTGTATGCATTTCATCAATTAATCTAGGAGAATTTTTAATTTTTATGACAATTTTTCTTAATTTTTTTAATGATCATTGGCAAGTTCTAAACCATGTCTTACTGCTAGATTTATGATATGTGCCACACATCTATAATGTTTGAAAAACGAGTTTCCAAATCTTAATTCCAATTCATTTGATAGCTTTTCTCCAGCAGACACCATGTTGGCTGCATTATCTCCCATGTTAAAATCTTCAAGAATCTTGATTAATTCTGATATAATCAAATCAGATGTATGTCTTTCTGTTAGTGGTATAATATCAAGTAAAAACCTTTTCATTTCCCAATGTGAATTAATGTAATGGGCAGTGATGCCTAAATATGATTCTTTTGTGATGGATGTCCATATGTCCATTGTTAAAGCAAATTTACTTTTAATATTATCAATATCATGCTTAATATTATTATGTCTAATTACAAATTGATTAATTAGTAAATCTTTAATTGTTTGATGACATGTAATTATATATTGAGGATTTAATGCTGCAACAAATTGATGAAATTGATTTTGTTCTACCACTAAAAATGATTGTAAATTTACAATAATCCATTCAATCATACGTATTGTAATATGCTTAGATTCTGCTTCACTATAAGGTCGAAATTGGTAAGAAGTGAGTGTTGTTTGTCTACTATTATTCGAATAAATTGAAGTATGTTTATTGTTTAGGTGACGCCAAAGTGTAGAAGTTGCACAAGAAGATTTATATAGTTTCGCACATAAATTACATTTGTAAGATTTAATTTCCATAGTTCTTAAATCTTCAATTTTTTCAAAATGATTCCATACATCAGAAACAGGTAAATTATTGATAATATCAGAGTTTGGTTCTGAATCAATACTTTCATAACTATCATTAATATGATAAAACTCATAAGAATTAATGTTTGGATATTGTCATCGAAATTTATGGTTGAATGATTTTGAATTGAATTATTATTGTTGGATTTTAATGTAGACATTTTCAAAAAAATATTTCTATTTTTTGTATACTGAAAATGATAGATAATTGTTTTAAAAAAACCATTATTAATAAGCTTCATCCTTTTAACTTAATATAGTTAAATTTCACCAGTTTCTATTCGTAATACAAATTCTTATTATTATTTCAATCTTGTAATATTAATATTAATTCAAAATATTCATAATACAAATTATTTCAATCTTGTATTAATTAATATTAACATTAATCCAAAATATTCATAATTCTTATTATTTCGTTTCACTCATTTTTATTCAAAGTCTGAACCATGGTCTCAGACCAATCCAATGGTCCGGTTCTGCCTCCTTCAAATTCAGTCCTTCCGTATTCCATTGGTTCTAATCTTTTCACAAATCGAAACTTAATCTTTGTCCGAATAATAACTTACTGGCTAACTTTTCAGCTATTTCTCGTTCTTTTTTTCTTCTAGTAAGAGGAAGGTCTTGAAAATCATCCATAATTAATTTTTATTCTTCCTGACTTTCTTCACTGTCCTCCGTTTCACTTTCATCACTACTCTCTTCTTCACTACTGCTTTCACTGGGAGAATTAACATAATTAGTTCTCTCAATCAGGTAATTACTTGGCTCGGTCATGATGACTTATCACAGTTTCTTGATTAGTTAATTCTTTCCAATTCACTAATCGATAAAGTCCTTTGTAGTTGTGGCAATAAAACAAATATCTTTTGTTTGGTTAGACTGACGGTCTTTGGATCAGACCGGACCATTAACAACCCTACGAATCCCAACCCTGATCATAAATTTTTGTCACTATTCCAATAGTTCCATTGCATATTTCATCAAACAGCTTATTATTAAGAAACATCACACATGCACCTTCTAAACACAATTTATGAGGAAAGTTTGTTAAGTTTATGAATTGAGCAATCGAGTGATCATCATTTGATATTTCAAATTCCAGTATATCTATGCATTCAGAAACTATTGGATCATTGCATGTTTCATCAAAAGGGAGGTTATTAAAGAATATTGCATTGAGGGATCGAGCTGCTTTTCGAGTGCTGACCACATGAGTGGTATCATAGAAACTACAAAAGGTCAGTTTCTTGGTTAATTTTTGTTTGGATTATTTGCTTACTTCTAACTGACAAAGTTCCTGTTCTTGTCTCTTGGAGGTGTAGTTAAGAATAGAGGGAATTTTTTTTTCCAAATTGGTGATCTAAATACTTGAGAAGGACAAACTGGAGGGAGTTGAGCTAGGTCTCCTATGACAAGTGTTGGGTATTCCTCCAAAGTTAAGATTGTTGTCATCAGTTACACTATAATTCGCATTGTTAAAATATCCCAAGTCTATACGACTCAAAACTTCTCAGATAATAAAAAACATTGTTTTTGATGATTAACCATTCAATGTTTTTTTCATTATATATATACTTCTGGAATAATAAAAGAATCATCATCATATCATCATATCATCATATCATCATAATCATCATCTATTAATATTGATAAATTAATTTGAACATTATTTTATCAATGAATGTACAAGTACAAAATCTGACCACCATTATCAATGTAACTTCTGATGCAGAGAATAATGAACATACCTTTTATGAAAGTCCTCCTCCCCAACCTCCTTGTTCACCTATAAAAAAAACGAAAAACAAATAAAAACATAATCACATCATATATAAAAAAAAACAATCTTATTAATTATCTGTATTATTATCATCATTTTCTAAAAAGTATTTATTAATAATTCAGGATCATAGTCCAAATTATAAGAACTATTTATATTAGTATCATTTTCATTTACTTCATTATTATTAATAAAAAAATTAAAATCGATAATGTCTCAAATTGTTAAGGTGTTTCTTGTCTGAATTGAATTATCATTTGAATTAACATTATTTGGGGGCTGTTCTAGGAAAAAGTGGGTTTCGACCCTCAGATTCAAAAATGAGATATTTATACCAAATTAATCTATAC